TTTCATATGCCAAATCTCCAAAGTTGGTTAAAATGCATTTTAAAGCAAAAGCTTGATACCAAGTGAATATAAGTACTAATGTAAACATGCTAGTCCCTTGGCTTCGTTACACACATGTCCAAGTAAGCATCCAAAAAGTGTGCTTAGGTACACATTACATAGTTCTAGGCAAAAATAACATTTTACAACTAAAAGATGCTACATGCTAACACTTGCATGTTTTCAAAAATACTTCAAAATACTTCAAGGTATCAAGGTAACTTAGGGATGTGATGCATCCCACAACAAAGTTTCTTTACCTGCAAAATAACCCAAACAACTAGGGTGAGTAATCAAGTTACTCGTAAGATGTGGTGTATGTGCATACTCTATAGTTTCAAGTATAATGTGAACCAAACATAGATCATCACAAGAGTGCATTCCACCTAACGTCTATGTTTTCAAGGTACTCTAAAGGATCATCTCAAGCTATACAAATATTTGAAATCCACATGGCATCCAAGTATACATGAACAAGTACACTAACCGCATTAAAACTAAAATCACCAAATCACAAGCTACTAGAAATCTATGATTTACAACTTGGAAAAATAATGCGAAATCAACTAATGGGAAGACTAGGATATGTGGCCACGGGACCATACAAGTTATTTTGGGTAATTACGACCTACAAGGTACTACCTAGTGCGCACTATGATATAGGAGAATTCTTACTCTCCGTACTAGAGCCAAACCCTAGTCATCAAACATTTCATATCCTTACAAACTTCCAAAAATCAACAAGTCCATGACATTTATATAATCTCAATGCATGATACTACCTACCAAGCACAAGTAGGTGAAACCACACAAACCATGCCCTAAGGTTACATGTCTAAAACGGCAAGTTAATGATACTACACATTACACTAAAGCAATTTACTATCAATGTAGGCCATAATTACTAATCATGTAATTTAGTAATTTACCTACAAGTAAATACAAGAGCTATATACAAGGTCTTTACACTAAATCTTCAATGAAATTTCTATTACTTAACAATATAAGTACCAACTCCAAGAAATCCATGATAAACCCTCAATAAAATCACAAGTATTAGGCAAGTCATTAAACAATAATTTACCTATTCCATTTAATAGTCATATATATGCTTTAATTCACAAATCTTAAGTCAAGCATAATAAATCTATATTTATATACAAATACAAGATTATAAAAAGCATGTAATCAATATATATCAAGCTCCAATATATATACAACCCGAAGATGATAAACATACAACCACCCCTACCTTACAAGACGATTGTTCATCTTGAATCTAAGGGAAGCAAAGGAATTTCAAGTTTTCCTTCTAGAGTTATGAAGAGGAAGATGAGGCAAGGCTTTTGTATTCCAAGCTTAATGGTCTAAGGTAAGTGGAAGGAGGCCAAAAATGAAGTCAAAGCTATTGGTCAAGCCTTTCCTTCAATGGAGGCTAAGTTAGGGTTCTTGAGAGGAAAGAGATGAAATAAAACAAAGGTGTAAACCCTAAGCTAAATGTGATGGGATCCTCCACTCACTATGTGCTCTTGCACTACTTCTCTCACACACACAATGCAAGACAAAGTATGGTGCCTACACTTGTCACTATCTTAAGTAAACTTCCAAGACTTAATACTGAGCCTACACTTGTCAACCATCCATGCCAATAAGTGCCCCCATCCTAGGCTAACAAATGGGTGAATCTCCACCCTCCATGTGTCATGAGATTAAGTCTCCAAGTGGTTCCACCACAAAACCAAGTGGCACCATAGGAAAATGACACTTGTCAAATTTTTCAGAATTTGCATAAAGGTCCTTTTTGAAAATATCTTCCAAATTAAATTAAAAAATGGTCCCTAAGATGAAAAATAATTACTTTAATTAATTACACTAAAACCCCAAAAGTCATGAATAATTACAAGAAGTTATGTGTCCATGTCCTTTACAAGAAAAGTAAACATTTAACATACTTTTCTACAAAAGTAAAAATGTAGATGTCATGGAAATTAAATACCATGGGTGTATGCAAAGCTGGAATCAATTCCGAGCACAAAAAGTGAGGTTATGCAAGGAAAAATGATAACATGCTTTTCTACAAAAGTAAAAATGTAGATGTCATGGAAATTAAATATCATGAATGTATGCAAAGCTGGAATCAAATCCGAGCATAAAAAGTGAGGTTATGTAAGGAAAAATGATAAACGAGAAAAAGAAGAAATAGAGAAAAAGACGAAAAAGAAATTACCCAAAAAAAAAAAAAAAAGAAGGAAAATGACCTAGTCATTACAAAGAAGCTGTTAGCTGACTCCTTTCAGGCGAACCAGTTTGCTACCCTTCAAAAGAGGGTAAGTGTTTTGGAGGCTTCCCTCAACGAGGAAAAGAGAGAGAAGGTTCAGCAGCTTAAGTTAATTGAGTACTTTGACAAGAGAGCTAAGGAACTTGAGCACAAAGCAGTTGAGCTTGACTTACAGCTTGGGAAGGCGAACTCTCTTATTCAAACCTGCAAGGATGGGAGTTTAGAGATGTTTAACCGTTTTTCCCAGATTGCGAATCTCCACTATGCCAAAGGCTTCAGGCTTGGTTTTGCTTAGGGGCAGCTTCCTTCTGAGAGAGAGATTATGGTGATGCTGATGAACATGATACCGAACAGGGGCTTTTAATTGTAGGTGAATATGCCGAGCCCTTAGCTGGCCCTAGAAAGATTGAATTTACTGCTCTACTGAAGGGTGAGGTGGCCGCTGAGGTTCTGCCGCCTCTCCAATACCCTTCGGGCTCTTAGGGGTTACCTACTATGTCGCTTGATGCCCCTTCCTTTACTCCAGCAAGGATAGAGTTGGTTGATGCTTTTATACAGAGATTTAATACGAAAGGTGGAACTGAGCCTGAGAGTGACCCTGCGTAGCTCCTTTTTTTTTTTTTTTTTTTTGAGGTGTTGGATATGCCCTGCCTCTTCTGTAGAAACCCCCCCTTCTGGAGAACATAGAAGTTTCTTTTAGCAATCTCTGAGATCGCTTTTGCTTGTGTTCTTGCTTGTAATTTGATCTCAATGCATTTGTTTATTTTTCGATTGGTTCTTGTGGCTGCTTTAGCTTTTTACACTTGATTATTTTTCGGATTAATTCTGATAGGGCATTAGGCTCTTAGGGCCTTCGCCTATTCTGTGATCGGCTCTTGGGGCCGTTAGGTTTTAAGCCCGTTTGGGCGTTAGGCTCTTGGAGCCTTTGCCTATTTTGCGATTGGCTCTTGGGTCCATTCGGTTCTTTAGGACTTGAGCAGTTTCACTGGTCAAGCCCGTTTGGGCGTTAGGCTCTTGGGGCCTTCGCCTATTTTGCGATTGGCTCTTGCAGCCGTTCAGCTTTTTAGGACTTAAGCAGTTTCACTGGTTAAGCCCGTTCGGGCGTTAGGCTCTTGGGGCTTTTGCCTATTTTGCGATCGGCTCTTGGGGCCGTTCGGCTTTTTAGGACTTGAGTAGTTTCACTGGTTAAGCCCGTTCGGGTGTTAGGCTCTTGGGGCCTTCGCCTATTTTGTGATCGGCTCTTGGGGACATACGGCTTTTTAGGACTTGAGCAGTTTCACTAGTCAAGCCCGTTCAGGCGTTAGGCTCTTAGGGCCTTCACCTATTTTGTGATCGGCTCTTTGAGCCGTTCGGCTTTTTAGGACTTAAGCAGTTTCACTGGTCAAGCCCATTCGGGTGTTAGGCTTTTAGGGCCTTCGCCTATTTTGTGATTGGCTCTTGGGGCCGTTCGGCTTTTTAAGACTTGAGCAGTTTGATATAGGTTGACCACTTTTTATTGGGCCTTTGTGGTCAAAAAGAGTGTCGGGTCTTTTCATAAGGGAGTTCCTCCACTGGTGCTAAAATCAAACGATTTCATTTCATAGAAAACACGCACACATTTTTTTTATTTTAAGGTGAGGTAACGACTTGAAAGGAAATGATCCATCCCAAGAGAAAGCAGGGAAGGCTCTGAATTACGAACCCTCCGATAATAGGCTGTGACTATCCATGGGTCTCATAATTCATGGCCCCCACCCGCTGATTATAAACCAAGCCGGTCATACTTTAATAGAAAGGAATCTTTTCCTTTTTTATCGATGTGGGACCTTGACTTCTATAAACACGAAAACGCCTTTTTATTTGAAAAAATGTGGGGAGTGTATGGAAACCTCTGACAATGGGGCATTTCGATGTCGTAAATAGGTTCCCATTGTCAATGGGTCCCATACACTGTCAAGTAGGTAAGTGAGTAACCTTATAAGAAAAAGGCTAAGGTTTTATTTTTTAAGCGATGGGGACAGCGTTTCCTGTGGGTGAAGAAGTCTTACTTTTTCATGTAAGATTTAAAAAGTGTGAAGTGGAGACCCCTGATGGTGGGTCCCATTATGGATTGCCTACCATCAGGGGGTCTACTCCACTGCTTTGATTTTGTGTTATTTTACTTTAAATAACAACAAAAAGTTTGTTTTTACTTGATGTGGGACTTTCAAAAAAGACAGGCAACAATTTTATTTATTCTGAAGTAAAGTACCAGAAAGCATCGTACAATTACATTATTGAAAGTACCTTTTCAAATTCATTGCATTCCTTGGCTTGGCTATTTCTGTGCCATCCAGGGGTTGGAGTCTATAAGCTCCCTTTCCAATTACGTCTGAGATCCAATATGGGCTTTCCCAGTTGGGTTCCAATTTGCCGACATACATTTCCGATTTCTGAAGTACCAAATCTCCGGGATTGAAGCTTCTTCTTCTGACTCTTTTATTGTAGCTACTTGTTATCTTCTGTTGATATGTTGTTAGTCGAATGGCAGCAGCTTCTCTTTTCTTTTCCAAGAGATCCAGATTGTCCTCCAGAAGCTAATTATTTAACCTTTGTTCCCAAGTTAAACTCCGTATGGTGGGTGCCACCAATTCGGTGGAAATTACAGCTTCAGTTTCGAAAGCTAAAGAGAATGGAGTTTCGCCGGTGGTGTGCCTCAGAGTGGTTATGCCCATAGGACATTTGGCAACTCGTCCAACCATTTTCCTTTCTTATCTTCAAGCTTCTTTTTAATACAAGTGAAGATAGTTCTGTTAGTTATTTCTACTTGCCCGTTGCCTTGTGGATGATATACGACCGACACCTTTTGATTGATCCCGTATTTGTCGAAGAAACGCTGAGTGTTTTGATTATCCAGGTTTGGTCCATTGTCTATAATGATGGACCTTAGGACACTGAATCTGTATATTAGATTGTTCCAAATGAACTTTTTCACTTGGACGTTAGTTACGCTCGCATATGCTTCTACTTCCACCCTTTTGGTGAAGTAGTCAGTAGCTAATAGCACATACCTTTTTGTGATGTAGCCATCAGTAAGGGTCCCACTACGTCCATTCCTTATTGGGCGAATAGCCATGGGCTACTTATGGTGTGTATTTCTTTTGGGGGCTGACGGACAAAGGGGCATACCTTTGGCATTTGTCGCATCTCTGGGAGTATTCTTCTACTTCCCTTGCCATGTAGGGCTAGAAGTAGCCCCGACTTAGGGCTTTATGAGCTAACAACCTTCCTCCCGAATGGTTCTCGCATTCCCCTTCGTGCAGTTGCCTTAACACTTCCCTAGATTCTGTGAGGGTTAGGCATTTGAGGTAAGGTCCAGAATACGAACTCCTGAAGAGCTATCCTCCTATTAATGAGTATTTAGTAGCTTTTAGTCTTAGCTGTCAAGCTACTTCCTTGGACTCAGGGAGTTCCCCTCTTGCAAGGTATGCATGTATGGGATCTATCCAGCTTGGTTCCCATGGTATAACGAACACCTGCTCTCCTCTTGCAATGCTTGGTGTATCTAGGACATCAATAGGGATGACTCAAGTTAATGATTCGTCCGCTATGGATGCTGCGCCAGCCAGTCGATCGGCTACTGGGTTTTCTTGCCTTGGGATTTGTTGAAACTTGATTGAGTCAAAGTATTTTGCTAGTTTTTTTACTTCCTCCCGGTACGCACACATTCTACCTTCTTTGTGGACATATTTTCCTATTACTTGCTTGACGATAAGCTATGAATCACTATAAACCCTGAGGTGTCTTACTTGGAGTTCCTTGGCTAGTCTAAGTCCTGCCAGCAGTGCTTCATTCTCTGCTTTATTGTTTGTAGCTGGGAACTCTAGCTGGATTGACTGCTGGAGCTTGGTCCCCTCAAGAGTTCTTACTTCCAAACCTGCCCCAGCTCCGTTCTGGCTGGAGGAACCATCAATATATAATTCCCAGCACGGGTTTTCTGTGACTTGCTGTTCCTCTCTGGATCAGTATCCAAGAAAAAATCTGCGACCACTTGCCCCTTCTTCGTGGTGAGTGGCTCGTACCGAATGTCGAAGGAACTTAGCTCAATTGCCCATTTGGTGATCCGACCCGACAGATCTAACTTACTGAGAATTGCTCTGATTGAATGCGTCATGGGGACTATTATCCGATGAGCCTCGAAGTAATGCTGAAGTTTTCTTTTGGCCTGGACTAGTGCAAGGATGATTTTTTCTGCCGTCAAGTACCTTCTTTCTGTGTTAGTCATGACCTTATTGGAGTAGAAGATCGGGTGTTGCTTTTTTCCCACTTCTCTTATTAGAGCCGAACTGGTCGCTGATTGAGATACTGCCAGATAGAGGTACAATGGTTCTTTGGGATCTAGGGCAAACAAAATTGGGGGGCTTGCCATGTACTCTTTGAGTTTTGCAAGAGCTTCTCATTGCTCTGCTCCCCAAATTTCCCCTTTTCTAACTTTGATTGCATCAAAGAAAGGTTTGCATTTGTCTGACAATTTGGATATGAAACATCTGAAGGCTACTACTCTCCCGGTGAGGACCTGAACTTCTTTCATGATTTAGGGCTCCTTGCTTTGTATTAGTTTTGCCAACTGGATAGGACTTGCTTCTATTCCCCTCTTGTTTACCAGGTGGTGTAGGAACTGGCCCGAGGATACTCCGAACGAACATTTTGCTGGATTTAACATCATTTTATTGCCTCTAAGAGTATTAAACACATCTTGTAAGTGTAGCTGATGATCCCCCTTATTCTTGCTTTTAACAACCATATCATCTATGTAAGTTTCAACCGTTCGGCCGATCTGCTTTTCAAACATTTTGTTGATTAACCGCTGATAAATAGCCCCCGCATTTTTCAACCCGAAGGGCATGACCTTATAACAGTAGGTCCTTCATTCGGTAATGAAAGAAGTCTTCTCTTTATCTAAAGGGTTCATTGGGATCTGGTTGTAACCTGAATAAGCATTAAAGAAAGTTAGCTTTTCATACCCGGGAAGCTATCCTTTAGGCAAGCTTTATTCAGGTTGGTGAAGTCGATGCATACTCTCCATTTGCCATTTTTCTTTTGGACGACCACTATATTTGACAGCCATTGGGGATACCGGACTTCTTTGATAAACCCTGCTTCTAAAAGCCGGTTGACCTCTTCAGTAATGATTTTGTTTCTTTCGGGGGTGAATCTTCTCTGTTTCTACTTCACTGGGTTAATTCCTGGCATAATCTAGTGATTCCAAGCAAAGATGCCGGCATTTTGCCTTAAAATCTCTGTCAACTCCCACTTCTCCTGGGCTGATTGGAGTGTCCCTATATAGGTCAGCTTGTGCTCATCCCCTATGACTATCTGCATGGCCTCAAGGGGCTCTTCAGTTGGGCACTCTTCTTCTGGTCCCTCCCTTCCCTTAGGAGAGGAAGAGCCCTGTAATTGCTATTTTAGCGTTTGCTTGCTCTTATTAATTGGACAGATCGTTGTGTGATAGCATTCCATTGCTTTTACTTGATCCCCCCAAATATCGATAACCACTCTTCCATTTAAACCAACAGACCTCATGACTTGATGTAATATTGATGGGACCCCTTCCATACGGTGGATCCACCCTCGGCCCATTAGCAAATTGTATGTTGGATGAATATCAACCACCACAAAATTCTCTTCTAGGGATCTTTTGGCTGTCATAACTGATAGTGTGATTACACCTATGGGCTCCACTCTTCTGCCGTCAAACCCTACCAGGGAGTTTCTAGTGGGGTGAATTTAATCTGCGGCCAGTTTCAACTGGTCGAAAGTCCACCTTGTTATAATGTTTGCACTACTGCCTGGGTCGATCAGTACTCTTCTGACCAAGCAATTAGCTACTAGCAAGCTGATCACTAATGGGTCTTCGTGTGGGTGCTGTACCCTTCTAAGATCCTCCTCTTGAAAAGAAACCTGTGTTGGGCTAGGTCTGCAGCCTACAGCATTGATCTCACCAATCTTTCGTAACTTATAGGCTTGCTTAAGCAGAATCCTGTAAGAATTCTCTGGTTGTTCATCCTCCTCTAGATGACCATGAATCGTATTGATTACTCAGACAGGATGATTTTCTGTTGCAGCCTTTGGAGTTGCCCGGGTTCACTCATTCTGCCTCTGCTATCCCGACTTAATCAAATAGTCTGTCAATTCGCTTTTGGCTATTAATGCCTCGACTTGCCTTCTTAAGCTTCTGCAATCATTGGTTAAATAGCCAAAATCACTATGAAACGCACAGTGCTTACTTTGATCTCTCTGCTCTATTGGTTGTCGGATCGGAGGTGGAATTTGGAAGATGTTTCTCGCCTTAGTTTCTTGATACAGCCTGGCTAGCATTACTCTGAATGGTGTGATCCTTTCGGCCGTTCGAGATTTTTTCTCGAGGGCTCTTCATTCAATGCTCGGAGGTTCACGATGGACTCTTGAAATGCTCGGTCGTTCTTTGGGTCTGCTCTCAACAGTGACCAGAGTTGCCCTTTACTGCCTGGTTACTTCATTTTATTCGAGCCTGATATAGTTTTATGCTCGCGAATTTAGCTCAGACATGTTAGTTAGAGTTTTCTTTACCAGAGAGGAGTGAAAACGTGAGCCTTGCACCATGTCTATCTTGAATGCCTCTATAGTTGTATCCTGGTTGCAATCTGGGATGCCGGAGGACTCTATATTGAATCGAGTGAGGAAGGCTTGCAAGCTCTCCCCCTTCATCTGTCGGATTGTGAAAAGACTGGCGATGGTTTTTTCTGTTTCTTGTTTCCACAGTACTGGGCTAGAAATGCTACGCACAATGATTCAAAGTTTAGAATTGACTTGCATGGGTGGTTTTCGAACCACTCCAGAGCCACCCCCGTCAGTCTGGATAGGAATATTTTGCACATGAACGGATCATTGTGCGCCTGATAAGTGCTTAAATGTTGCACATTTCAGCACCTAAGCTAAGGTATTTTAGCCCTTACATGTATCTTACTTTTATGTTTTAGTCCTAATTTATGTTTATGTGTATTTTAGGGTAATAAAGTTTAAACGGGTTTAAATCAATCCATTACCGCAATTTTCGGAGTCAAGCAAAAACAATCAGAAAAAAAGCTTAGAAAATGGCAAAAAGATACTGCAGCCCATTGTTCGTATAGTGCACTTATCCTTCAAAAGCGGTCAATTCTACCTTTTTTCCGGGCATTTAATGATGTTCCCAATGATCAAGAAGCAAACCGATTAGCCCGGGGCCAAAATGGAGTTAAACGGGGCTTAAAAGAGATTTCTAGCACTGGGGGATCGATCCCCCAGAGTGCGGGATCGATCCCCCATTATTGGCAGAAAGGTGCAAAAAAAATACCCCCTGGGGATCAATCCCCAAGGCTAGGGGATCGATCCCCAGCCCCTAGCAGCATTGCGGGATTTAGCTTCTACTTGGCTACGAGATTTTCTTGTTAGGGCTTATTTGGTGAACTATAGGCCTCCAATAATGTGGGTATTAAAGGAAAAACAAAGACCCATTGTAAGGGAGTTTTTATGATTATTTTATTCAGTTTTTAGTTTTTCTAGAAGATATAAACATTCTCTCTAGAGAAAAGGGAGGAGGCTAGGGTTTCAAGAAATTTTACAGGCTCTCTATCTACAATTGAAGGAAGAATAAGAAGGAGCCAAAGGATGGAGATTGGGCTTGTTGACACCATGATCATCTCCTCCATGAGCTAGTTCTTCAATTAGGGCTTAGATGAGCCTAAGTTCATGTAACCTAAACCTTTGTATTTCTTTTCTTGGGGAATTATTATGTTGTAATTAAATATATGGCCTTGTGATTTATTTATATATACATGCTTGATTTGACAAATTAGGGCTTGTATTGATGAATTCTTCCATTGAAATCTCCAAGTTGATTGTATGTCTATATATGATTAATTAGGGATTTTATTCTTCATTAGATGATTAAGCATTAATTCTTTCATTAATTCTATATGTAATTTGCATGTCTATATGTGATTACTTTATAATTATATTCTACACTAAATACTTCTTGTACTTGTGTTTAGTGATAGCTATAGCATGATACTTAGTTGATACAATTGTCAATTATTTGATGGATAAAGGCTTAATCTT